TGTTTTAATTTCCTTCACACTTCTAACATGTTATCCCTAAGGTTATCAGAAAATCTTACGCTCATGACTCCTGTACACGGTATATCTTTTTATAATCGTTCGTTTGCGGTACGAGCCGTACCGTACATCTGTGGAATTCTCTCCCAGTTACCATATGACCAACGAAACGATCGACGTGTGGAATCTATTTACGCTTTAAAACCTTGTTAAGTCCTATTATCTGTAATTATAAATTCCTTTTAGTTCTAATATCCTTTTTAATTACTACCAGCTGAACTAGATCTATTTATATAACAGTACTAGTGGCCCGCCCTCGCTTCGCTTCGGTGTAGATCTGTAGTGTGACTAAAATGACTCTTCATATAATTATAAAAAAAATCTGAAAATGGTTTATTTGCCTCTTCCAAACTTCTATTGACATCACGTCACTCAATTGTTTTGCCTTCCCGGACCATTTGAAATTTATGGTATGGTATTAAAGATCAAATTGACTTTTAAGTATTATTAAAAATCGTTTTTATGGGAGTATAGAAAAGTGTTGTTTTTAGACATTTTCAGGCATTTTTTTTATTTTCCTCTGCGTGAAAACCATCCTCGTACTTCAAGGAATATTCTAAAAAAATATTGTCGAAATCGGTTCAGCTGTTCTCGAGATTTGCGCTTGGCAACACATTCAGCAATTCATTTTTATTAAAGATATACCTATACTAGCTGTTACCCGCGGCTACGCTCGCGTGGTTTTCCTATTTGAGGCTATCATCCTTTTTTGACATAGTGAGTAAAAAAGTAGCTTATAGCAACCCAAAGCTTCAACCTATTAGTGCAGTCATTGAAGCGAAAAATACGGTCTTACCTCCGATTTTTTTTACTGTGAACTGTTTTGCATGAAATTTTGGAATTAGGCTCACCTTACCCTTAACTTCAAAAGTGAAAATGATCTGAACTCCGCCTATTATATTTAAGGGGTGTAAACTACCCCTTAATGGAAAAATTGACATTGAGCCATTTTATAGCTAGAAAACATGTCTAATAGTAGGTGGAAATTGTAGTAAGGTAAGGTGATGAAATTGTAAAGTATTTTCTAACATAATTACCCCATATTAAAATCATTTTCAATCCCTTGAAAGTCTTACAACCCTTGCAAACAACCCCTAAATTGAAAAAATCACAAAAAAATACTTTGGTTTTACATAATAAGATTTTGTATTAGAATGCATAAAATGCATCTGCTCGCCGCTAGATGGCATTGACCACATCGATTAAATTTCAGACAAAATAAAAAACGGCTTTGATCTTTAATATCTAGCTTAATATTGCACTTAGAATCCATACTAATATTATAAATGGGAAAGTGTGTTTGTTTGTTTGTTTGTTTGTCTTCTCTTCACGCCTAAACCGCTGAACCGATTGTGATGAAATTTGGTATATGTATAGCTTGAACTTATGAGACTGCTATAGGCTACTTTTTTTTAATTTATGTATTCGAATTTACATAATTTTCAACTAAATTAATCATTTTCATGGTTGGTCCCGATTAAATTTCAGACAAAATAAAAAACGGCTTTGATCTTTAATATCTAGCTTAATATTGCACTTAGAATACTCTATAAAAAACCAAATTGTTCATTGTTTTACCTGCTACAATTTTGTTTTTATAAAATTTTCGATAAAACTTACATTTTTGGAGATATTAGCAAAAAACCGATGAAAAACGGGAAAAAATTTCGAATTTTCAATTGCCAATAACTTGAAAAGTATTGGATTTTTTGAAAAACTTTATAGATGATTTTTTGCTTAAAATTTATTACAATACTTATTTTAAAAAAAAATCACCCCCGAGAAGGGGTGGCAACCATCATTTTCAATTTTGAAGTTAAGGGTAAGATGAACCTAATTCCAAAATTGTATGCAATTCGGTTCACAGTAAAAAAATTCGGAGCAATAATGCTTCAATGACTGCACTATATATACTTACCAAATTTCAAAGTGGTTTAGGCTTCGAGGAAGGATAAACAAAACAAACACTCATAATAATACCTAATACTACTATGGATAGTACGTAATAAAACTTCAAAATGTAAAAGCATTACTATTATTAGAATAAAGGGTTTAATTATTTTAAACACATAGCAGTACTATTTAAGTACGCTACTGTACACGATGTTATGTGTTCTTCCATAATTTTTATCAGTGAGTCAATTTTATACATTTGAAGAAACTACCAAAATACCTACCTAATTCATTTAATGCACAACAAAACCAAATCACAAAGGAAAACAAAAACAGATATGGTACCTTGGTAAATCGTATTTCTTTAAAATCAATCAAGGTAGGTAGGTACCTACTGCTTGCTGTTGCTTACCTGCTGAAATAGTAAGCACTTAACACCACCACGTTGATTCTTCTCTAATAGCACAGATAACAGAATACTATTAAAAACAATAAATATAAAAAAGTAATGTTCATGAATAGCGCCATCCGAAAAACCTCAGATTTTTAGTGCAAGTAAACTCTCTTCAGTTTCACACGCAACAGCTTGGTTTTCGAATTGTTATTCGAGTTGGTAGCGCCTATCTCTACTCAACATCCAGGATCAATCTCCACTTGAAAATTATTGGATAATACTCGATTAAGGGAGTAAAATAATTCATAACAACTGTTTATTTAGTATCTGTCTACTGTAAACAGCTGATTATTTAATATCTATTTGATGTTTATAAGATTTTCTGGTAAGATATTAGGACACTGAAGGAAGTCGGTTTTTTTTACTAATATTGTTTTTATTAAAATATCTACCTACATCACGTTAAAATTAACAATAAATATTAAAAAGTCATGTTCATAAATAGCGCGATCTGAAAAAACGCAATATCACAACTCACATTTTTAGCAATTAAAAATTCTCGATATTAAAGACGGGTGGTGCCATCTGATAAGTTACTCAGAAAATATTATTTCAAGAGAGACTACTCGGTGGAGTTGGTATTCGAGATGGTAGCGCCATCTCTATCTATAATCACTCGAAAATGATATTTTTATATTATAAATTTAGAGTACTATTTGCTAGATTTAATTTTAAAAATGAGATTAGAAAGAAATTGCGTAAAATTACCTCGATTTAATAAATGAAACACTAACACAAAATACTCGGTATTGAACACGAGTGGTGCCATCTCGTATTATTATGTTAAGATAGCAACTTCCACATTTCAAATTTAATCTGTCTTCGTGACAGTAGCGCCATCTCTATCGGGACCAACCATGAAAATGATTAATTTAGTTGAAAATTATGTAAATTCGAATACATAAATTAAAAAAAAGTAGCCTATAGCAGTCTCATAAGTTCAAGCTATACATATACCAAATTTCATCACAATCGGTTCAGCGGTTTAGGCGTGAAGAGAAGACAAACAAACAAACAAACAAACACACTTTCCCATTTATAATATTAGTATGGATATATAATGAAGTATAACAATAGTTAATAATATAATATACATACATACATGTTATGTACTAATTTTCAAAAAAAAACCGTATTAATAATAAATATAATTTTAACAGAATACTTAGCGAAAGAAGAAAAATATGAACTTGAAATAGCCAGTACGGCAGAACGGCAATTTCATAGGTGAAGACCTATTATTTTGACTAAGGTAAGGAATTTGAAAATGCGAGTAATAAGGTCTCGTCTTGGCAACATTTTATTTGTGAATATTTTTGGCGGGATTTTCTTTACCAATTAGGTATAAAAAACTTAATGACCCGTCCTTGCTTCGCTTCGATGAAGACTGTAGTATTTGAATCACTTTATCTATTGCCGACAACTGCATATAAGTTCGTCGGACGGCGATCGTGAAAATTAAAAAACTTTCACAATGGTCGGTCATTGGATGGGCGACCAGAAACTTATTATCTTATTAGCTCCTCCGTGCTTCGGAAGGCACGTTAAGCCCTTGGTTCCGGCTGTATCTGCAGTTGTTAGAACCCACTAATCCGCACTGGGCTGCGTGGTCACGGCCCAGTCTCCCTATTCCATCCATTGGCAAGGCCTGTACCCTGTGTGTGTGGCCTGTAATAGGCTGATGATAATGACGAATGTAAAAATAGTCTATAATACTATGGTAGCTTATCAGACCTTCTTGATGTAGACTTTAGCCTGTGCTTTAGCGACGAGATGCGGCGGTGTCGGTTTTGGCTCGTAGGTATAACAGGGACGCGTATAAGATTGCCACCTTTTTTTTGTACAAATAAAGTACATTGGATATTAAAGGTAGAAAAAAGTACTTTATGCCATTTTTTGTGAAATTAAAGACCTTTAATACTTATAATGCGAAGAGATAGCGCTGCCTTGCAGCTTAAGAATAGCTAGAAGAATTTTGACGCGGTCCGTGTGGGCCGCGGTAGCATAATTGGTCAGTGCATTCGCCCGGATTGCGAAGGGTGCGGGTTCGAGTCCCGTCTGCTGCCTGGTCCGCGTGGAATTTTTTCTAGTTATATTTTCTTTAGATTTAAACATCAAGCAGTTACATGCTTTAAAATAATAATAATAAAAAAAAATGTAACTTACTTTATCTTTTGATGACATTGACATGATAATGATGTAAGATAGTAGTTTTTATCCGCAATGGACAAAGGTAATGGTACAAAGCCACGACAATGTCGATATTTGCGATTAAGTTGCATTCAGTGATGAGTTTACGGGGACCTCTACATATTGTCGTATCGTTTTACGCAAAAAATTCGACCTTTTTTGTATAATATATTTCATGTAAAATGAATCCTCGAGAAATCAAATCACACAAAATAAAGTATATATGCTTGGCATAAAGTATAGAGTACAATAACTCGAAATAACTTACAATACTTTATAAGAAAGTACCTACGGGTGGCAACCCTACCGTAAGGTACCTGGTACACGGAGTGGTACCCAACCCGTTCGACCGGATTTCTCCATTTTTATAAATAGTTATAGTTTACAACAAAATGGATAGCTTATTTCAGATCTCGTTGATATAGACTTTTGTGACGAGATGCGGTAGTGACGGTTGCAGTGCGCATGTAAGGGACGCGTAAGGAGCCTCGTACACGGAGCGGTATTCGAGTCTTTCGGTCGAATTTATCTGATTTTCTATATAATATAGTTTACAACACAATGGATAGGTTTCTTCAGACCTCCTTGATATAGACTTTAGCGAAGAGATGCGGTAGTGCCGGTTGCGGTGCGTATGAGAGAGACACGTAAGGCACCTCGTACACGGAGCTGTATTCGAGCCGCTTACCCGAATTTCTCTGTTTTATCTAATTAGGTTCACAACACTGTAGATAGATTACACAGATCTCCTTTTAATTTATATTAATGACTTGCCTTACTATATTAGAGATAAGCATGAGATAGTATTGTTCGCGGATGATACATCACTTTTATTTAAACTCAAACGTAATGAAACAGTTATTGACGACGTGAACAGTTGTATCTCTAAGGTAGTCCACTGGTTTAATGTTAATAATTTATTACTAAATGAAGGAAAAACGAAATGTATGAAATTTGTATTACCTAATGTAAAACAGGTAAAAACCAGTGTGAATGTAAAGGATAGGAATATGGGCCTTGTAGACACCACAGTATTCTTAGGGATTACTTTAGATTCTAAGCTTCAAGGGGGCCCACATATTGATAAATTGTCAAATAGACTTAGCTCTGCAGCATATGCCGTAACGAAGATACGCCAGTTAACGGATGTAGATACGGCCAGATTAGTGTACTTTAGATATTTCCATAGTGTAATGTCGCACGGAATTTTACTGTGGGGAAACGCCGCCGACATTCAAACTATTTTTGTGCTGCAGAAGAGAGCTATTCGATCAATTTTTATAATCTTAAAGTTAAGGATTCCCTAAGAGATAGGTTTAAAGAATTTGGTATAATGACGGTCGCATCACAATACATTTACGAAAATTTATTACTTGTAAGAAAATATATTAATTTGTTTCTTAAAAACAGTGATGTTCACACACTGAAATAGACTTTGGTGACGAGATGCGGTGGTGACGGTTGCGATGCGTATGAGAGAGGCGTAAGACACCTCGTACACGGAGCGATATTCGAGCCGCTCGACCGACTTTCTCTGTTTTATCTCATTTAGTTCACAATACAATGAATAGCTTACTTCAGATCTCCTTGATGTAGACTTTAGCGACGGTATGCGGTGGTGACGGTTGCGGTGCATATGAGAGGGACGCATAAGGCATCTCGTACACGGAGTGGTACCCGAGTCGCTGGGCCGCTGCTGCGGAGAACGCAGAGGTTGTGTCCATTCGCATGGCGCCCGCGCCAGCTTCTTTGGCTAAACGTCTGAAATTGAAATGATTCGAAATTCAAACTTCAATTCACACAGCTCTATTGATGTTTTTTTTAAATAAAAAGCATGGCAAACAAGCTTAAGTTTCTGCGCTGCATTAAGCGGCCGAAATAGCAGTAACACGCTTGCGATACTGAAGTATCACTTGCGCCGTTACCTGACCCTGACCCCCATCTTTTACCCTGTGAAGTGGAGCCTTGGAACTTTAACCTACTCATTAACAGAAACCTAACACCACCAATGTAGTGTGGTAGTGTAAGGTAAATATTTCTTTTACAGACGGGTGCTCCAACTCAAAGTAGGGAATCCAATACAATCCAAACAATAAAAAATGTGTAATTTGATGTAATGAAACAACAATACGGAACGATGCGTTGTTAAAAAAATAAAAGATCTCCTAAGGTGACATGAACAGAAAAGAAACGATACTAATGATTCAAAAAATGACCCAACAAATTCTAGGTCCATCTGCTTAGTCCATGCCTCACCCGTTCGATTAAGAGCAGGCAAGCAGGCAACACTTAAACTGAAGAAAATAGCTGAGAGTTTTTGGCTGGATTTTATCGAGTGCGGTTGGCGTCTTATTTTAATTATTCTTAAATTCGTTCATAGTGGATATTGTGAAATAAATTTGGTGTGATTTTGTGTTACAACCATCTGCGCAACTGAAGAATTAGTGGAATCTTTAAAATATACGCTATTCCGGTCAAGTGGACGTGAGAACTTTATTGTAGTGTTGACTACCTCACAGAAGCTTACCGGAATAGCTAACTCGATACATTTCGTGCCAAATACTCCAAGTAACATTAGAATGAGTCACACCAACATTCTAATGTAAAAAAATAAGATTAAATTAGCTTAAGACTTGGCTGTATGGGCATTGTTCCCTTTGCCTTCCCTGAAAAGGGAGAATCTTTAATAATAAAAAAAAAGAAAAAAGCTGAGAAGATGTCTATTATGTATGTGATGGACTTTTTGGCGGGATCGGAAAGCGTCACTTTAGCAGTTTTGTTTTTCTTGTTAAAAATTGTGTTGTGGCGGATGTTAGTATCTAATAATGGTGGATTATTAACCACTAAGTGTTCGGGAACATGCACAAGTGTTAGCAAGTGAAACAAAATAGCGCAAAGTGTCTTTCGACGTTCCCTCAAGAAGTCCACGGGGAGGTTCCAGTAAATCCTTACACATTTACTGAAACATAGGGAAACGGGGATTGACTTGACTGCCACTTACTTTGACTTGATTTATTACTTTGACCACGAGTGCTATAGAATTTTTTAAACATTTTTAACAGTTGACATTGGTTAAATGCATATGCCGTGCGAAGCCATTTAGGAAAAAAAAGTATGTGATGCATTTTAATCACAAAAAAGAAATATGATTCTATTTTATTTTTCGGAGTTTTCATAGGGTAAAAATCGTTTGCTACATCAAAATTTTTATTTTAACGCAGTACGATTCCCGACTTCTTACTTGGCCTTGGTAAAGTCAGTTGTCTATTCTTTCAAAATTTATTAATATAAATTATACCTAAGCTAGTGAAGGAGAAGGAGTCTTAAGATACCCGGTTCAGGGAGACGACGCCTTTTCAAGATATGAATATAATAATATTAGTGTGCCAAATTTCATCCAAATCCGTTTAGCCATTTTTGCGTTATTATATTGGCTCTCAAGAGCCAAATATAAAAACACAAATTATCAAACAGTCACATTGATAAAATTAGTAGAAAGTAGGATATTCATCTACTGATTTTTTGAACTAGAAACAAATCAACAACGCGGAGCTAAGACACTGCTTTGATTCGAGACTGAAACATGGGCTAATTCTTTCTAGCAAATATTTATTTAAAATAAAACTCGAGCAGTCGAATGGCTGACTAAAAATTCAAATAAATAAAATACAACTTTTAAACACCAGGAACAAATTAACAGCTTGTCACTGCAAATGGGATTCGTTGAACCGTTATTTGTCGACCGACAGAAAAAAGCAGTACTTACTTACGGTCTGTAATTATTTTTTTATGACACAGAGCAAGACAGCAGCATTATACTAGTGTACTTATAATGACAAAACAATGCATTCTTCCGCGTGTGCCACTCAAAATATATATTTATATATTTGATAATAACTAGGAAACAAATTGTGAGGTAAACTGATTTTAGGTCTTTATAAAAGTGTAATTTTCGTGTGACGTGACATTTACTAAGCCTTGTTATGAGTTCCCTTGACCAGTAAATTAATTGCTTTTCGGTTTGGTAGTTTAGCATTTTTGGATCTATCTTATTAATTCATTTTTTGAAGGGAAACTTCTGTCTGCACGCTTGACTTGGGGGGTAAGCTGGCGAATGCGTTACGCGTTGCGAAAACTGTGTTCGGGCGTGGCGAAATGGGGTTGAGTGGGGGATATAAGCAAGAGAAAGCAGTGCGCGCGCAGTTTCGTTTTCTCTCTTTCTCTTCTAGCTAGTAAATGAAATATGTATATGTACATACATGTATATATTGTACACACACACACACACATATATATATATATATATATATATATATATATATATATATATATATATATATATAAACTACTCAAAACAAAATAGGGCCCACCCCGTTTTTCAGCTGTAATTTCTTTTTCCTTTAACTTAAGTATATTTTTTTAATTGAGGTGTTCATAATTGGCGTTTGGAATTTGTGTAAACTTAAACAATAGTGAAAATTAAAAGTTTTATGTTAATTACACATAAATAACAGTTTTTAAGAATATTAACAAAAATTAACTAAGAAAGTAAAGTTTGAATATTAACTATTTTCACACAAATTTATGAAAATTGTCTCTTTTAGTAGCGAGTAGGACCTCCTCTGGTCCGTATGCACTCTCTTAGTCTATCTGGAACGCTTTCGACTAAATGGATAACGTTTTCAGTCGGCATTTGCTCCCAACAGACTTTAAGGGCGTTTATGAGGTCTTGTCGGCTATTCATATGACTGAAGTTTGACTTAAGGCTTCTTTTTAAACGATCCCATAAATGTTCATTAGGGTTGAGGTCGGGAATCATGGCTGGCCACGGTAGTATCGTAATATTGGCTTCTGAAAGTGCTCTCTGAGTGATACGAGCCGTATGCGCGCAGGCGTTATCTTGCATGAAGACGAAGTTTTCACCGATTCTTTGCCTAAATGGGATGACATGAGGTTAGATTACACGCTCGATGTAACTGGCAGCAGTAACGGTGCCTTCTTCCAGAAATACCAGTTCAGTTTTGCCCATTAAACTAATTCCACCCCACACCATTACACTTGGACCCCCGAAACGATCTGTTCCGTGAATGCAGGCTTCTGAAAAAAGTCTATTCCGAATGGTTTGATCACTTACTCGTGTGTCAGTAGATTGGCGTAAACGATTTTGTAAGGTCCGAGCGGTTATTGTACGCTCTCGACGTGCAGTCAATCGGATATAACGGTCTTCCTGGTCGGTGATAGCTCGAGTTCTTTCTGTTCCCGCTCTCCTAGCAACACTACCAGTCTCTTGGTAGCGTTCCCCACAGGTTAAGGATAGCGCGTCGTGACACACCAACTCGTATTGCCAGTGATCTCTGTGAATGTCCTTCCTGAAGCATAGCCACCGCTCTTGAAGCTGTTTTAATATCCATATGACGGCGAGAACCAGGCAAATAACGTAGAAAATAAAACAAAATGAATAAAACAACAAGGTGCAACAGGAACAGTCGGTCTGAGCCTGAGAACACAAGTGATTGGGAAATTTAAAATTGGACGATTATTAGGGCACTTCACTTTTCTGCTTGCTCACTTAAGAGTAACATTTAACTTGTCGCTTGAAACATTGATAAAGATTCGTAAACATGTCACAATAAGTTAAAATGCTTCAACTCGCCAATAATTACCCTAAATATTTTTTTAGACAAAATACGGGATTATTTATGGGTGGGCCCTATTTTGTTTTGAGTAATTTATATCTTTATATATATAATTCTTCTGTGAGTGTGTATGTCACTAAACTTCTCTTAAACGACTGGACCGATTTTGATGAAATTTTTTGTGTGTGTTCAAGGGGATCTGAGAATGGTTTAGATTCACAAAGACGTGTAGACAGGACAACGTCTGTCAGGTGCGCTAGTATATACATACAGATGGAGCTTAAGAAGTTTCACTTCAGTCGTGTGGTCATAAGCACACTCGTTATTTATTTTGAGTGTGGTATGCTGTTGGTCACCTTTGTTGCAGATGACCTTTACAGCGTCAGCATGTTTGGGGCGGCAATAATGTAATAATGAATCTAGTAATGTAACAACGTGAACGTACGTACCTAAATACTAAAAAAGAATTAAATAAAATATGAAGCCTTAATTCTTTGTTATGTGTAAAAAAAATACTACAAACTTAAAAAAATAATACTATGCCGCTTGCAAATGAGCCATATTCTTCAAGTTTCTCAATAAAAGCGTAATATTACATTATAACGACAAAAAGAAAACATGATGCTGGTATCACGTTTTCATTTGAAAACCTGAAGAAAAGCTTAAGCGCTTACATTTGATTTTATAACTTGTTTTTTACAGCGTTGGAGACTACATAATATAATTCTATTTACAGGTGTCTTTAATTAAAATAATTATGATAATTGATTCGTGTATTGGCGAGCGATTGGATATTATTACGTCACTTAGAAACAATCTGGGGCTGACAGTTGTGCTAAGTGGCTAATTAAACTTAGTGCCTATATCTTTGTGGATTGATGACGAATCGATGCAAAATCCACTTGTCGTCCGAGATCGAATGCATTCTTATGTAACTTGAACATGCTTTACGTAAGTACTGAAAAACTTTCCTAATGTTAAAAATAGGTTTCATAAAAAAATTGGAAAACTGTTGATTGTGTTAACGAATTTTGTACAGTGAATAAAAGACCGGCTAATAGTAGGTAGCCCCACAATTAAAAGGATTGATAGCGATGGATGTTGGTTCTATTTAGATCTGATTTATTCGTACCTGGGCATAGTTAAATTTGTCACCAGTTCAAAATTTCTTTAGCTATGGAAAAATTCAGTGCAATTCTTTAATTAAAGATACATAATAGTAGATTGTATCATAAGGGAGCAAAATAATATGTTTAAGAGGCGAGGGCGCTTTTTTGAATCCAGAGCGATGTGAGAGATTCAAAGTACGTCTGCCGAGCCAAATATATATTTTGCGCCCGACTCACTATACTTTTCATCACCCACTATGAGAAAATAAAAGGCCCCTCATATTTTATTGCGATATTATTATTTAATAAAACATAGAGTAACAACTAAATAGAAATTAAAAAATATCTAATAATAAATCAACTAAAACCTTTTGCGTTCCATTTCTTTGGCGCAAAACACTAAAATGTTCCAAATTCAAAAAGTGCGCGGCAAAGATAATATCGACTCAATCTACAAAAAGAGGATTAAAATCTCTTTACTGCCCGCTAAAAGTTTCTTATAGAAAACACCACCTTTGGGTGCACTTAAAGGCGAACCAAGTCGTCCTTTTCGAATAGATGGGATGAAAAATTGATTAGTCTTGTGTAGTTCGTCAACGATGAACGAATAGGAACCGTTTCTTAACACTGTACTAAAAGTAACGTTTTCAAATCATCATCATCAGCCTATTAATGTCCCCACTATCAGGCCTCCCCTATGGATGGAATAGGGAGATTGGGCCATGACCCACCAAGTGGGCCCAGTGCGGATTGGCGGGTGCTAACGACTGCAGATGCAGTCGGGACCAACGGCTTCACGTGCCTTCCGAAGCACGGAGGAACTCGAGATAAAAGATTTTTGGTCACCCATCCAATGACCGAACACTACGAAAGTTGCTTAACTTCAAGGATCGCAGCCGAACGCGCTAACCACCCGTGCCATCGAGCTCCTCCGGATACCGAGAGGTTTCCGAATGCTGACTTGTAATCGATCTATTAGTTATTAGTTCCGATTTCGGGCACGCACCATAAGATCCTGGTCGCACTTGAAGTACCTAGGAGACTTTTTTGCTCTGTGATCTATGGGAGCTTCGACTACAAGTGAAGACCGAATAGAGCAAATAGAATGAATTGGTTCACTGACCGAAACGTACTAGTACGAAGCGATCATAAAAATGACCGAGCAGGCACAAGACTAAAAATTATAATATAGTAGGAAAACAAACATTACTTCACACCAAATGCCTTTAAGCGAACTTAATGGCGTAGTGGTTAGAACGTTTGAGATGAGGTTAAACTACATTCGCAATTCCCAGTCACAGGATCGGTGATCAAAAAAAATGTAAAGCACAAAAGAGCTCTATATACCTATTTATACATTCGTTAAAGCGTTGATCCCAACTCCAACAGTCGTTAGCACCCACCAATCCGCTCTAGGGTTGCGTAGTGGGTCATGGCTGTGTGATGATGATGATATAGTTATACATAATAATATTACATAGTTAAATGATAAAGGCACACGATAAAATAAAATGTCATTGTTGTCAACTACGTCCTCTAAGCAGACGTTTAAGTCGAGTATTAACCACTTAATCATCAATTAACTTGTTAACGTCAGTTACCAGCTTCATCTTATTGTACCAGCGAGTATTTCACAGTTGTAAACAAATTCGCGGCTACATGAGTGTGGAACAATGCGACATCTTAAGTGCCCGCAGCGGAGATCTTAATAGAGATGCGAGTTATGCAATTGTTATGAATTATTATGAAATTGTTGACGCGAAGGACTCCGTATGACACGCGATAAATACTGGCTAAAGTGTGCATACTGAACTGGGAGAGAAAGAAAACTATATGAAGCGACAGCTTTAAAATTTTCCGCGTAAATATTGGCATGTGTAGTATCTAAGAATCGCGTATCTGCACAACGCACATACTTAATTGACGCCGTCTTATTTCTATAAAAACTGCAATGTATCTTTATTTTACACAATGTACAGTTACTTCCGCTGCCGCTGTTAACTTATATTTGCGTATCCAAACAATTGAATACTTGGTATCAAATGAAAAATAAATACCGACTTTAGAATTTTCAGATTTTCCTATGTCATGATTTTTTTATTTATAACTTGGCTGTACCACATTGGTAACAAAACTTTTGTTCTATTGTCGCTTTATTGACCAATAATAAAAGGTGAATAATAACTACAATTCAAGGGGGTCCCATAAAAGAAACGTGAAAATTTCAGAGTTTTTTACTGGACACTTTTATAAACAATTGTTACTGTTTTTACAAAATGGATCGGAACGTTCCGTGAGAACACCGACTCGTATTTGGACAGTTTAATGGAGCTTATAATGCTTTTGTTTTTAAAAAAAATCCGTGGTAATTGCCAATTTGTATTATTTTAAATTCGTAAAGTAACAAAAATCAAAAGCTTTTTCCTCAAATCGGATGAGTTAGAAGGTAATTTTGTATTCTATTTATTTAATTTCTAAGTTTGAAAATCAGTCAAACTGAGTTATAACAACTTCTTGTACATGCCGGTATATATTATACCCAGGAACACATATTGATAACTTTACATTTGTAAGATTAAACAATGTGCCGATTTTTTTGTCGTGTCACCGAGATTTCCGGGTTAGCGGAGTCAATCAAAGTTTTTGCACACAACCGAAATAGATAATATGAATACGTCAAGTTATTATAATTACTATTATGCAAGTAAGTATAGGTTGATTCTATTTTGAGTGTGCTAACTACCAACCTACAATGTGTTTTATAACAAGTAACGTTATGCTTTGTTGGATTGTATTTTAACTGCATTTGGATTGTAATTTACTAATTTGTACAGTTCAGTCAGATACAGTTTAAATCTATACTTACATAAAATATACAACTTCTTCAAAGTTATATAGAATCAATAATTGTTAATTGTGACCTAAGTGAATCTTTAATTATGTTTCAAGTACAAGTCGGTTGAATTTTTATAAAATAAAGAAACGAATAGTTTATATTTTTATTTAAGCATTTAGCTGCTTGATTTATAAATGTAAAGGTACTATTTACCAGAAAAAAAATCACGCAGTTCAGGCTTCAGATGTTGGTGCTATGTTAACGTCTGACGCCGCGTGGAATTTTTTCTAGTAAATTTTTTTAGGCTAGTTGACTCATGTCAAATTGCACTATACCTATACAAATGTTTATTTCTTATAATTTTTGGTATGAGGAACCTAAATACATCTATTTCACTTTATAAAATTAGAAGATGGCTGTAGTAATTTAATTTGAAAAATAGTTTTTTAGTCTATGCTTTTTAAACACTAAAAACGCTGTCCACCATGATTGTGACGGCAACATATTGGCAAACAACTAAACGTCATTGTCGTGTTACTGTGGTTTCTTTCGTCGGACTAAAATATATGTAAAAACTCTTATTTCTTGAAGAAAAGTTTCCGTTTATTGGTTATGTTGACTAAATTAATGCTGGACGCCGGATTTGTGAAAGCAGAAACGACAAAAGTCTTTGGCTTAGCAAGTACATTCATAACCTTAAAAAATTAAACCACAACATTGCTGGAGTCTTAAACGATGTGTTTCCATATTCTCGTATAATACAATCATGAATTGTTATATTTATCATGAAAGCATTAGAAATGATGGTTTTGTAATGTAAATTAAGATAGGTTATATCCTACGTGCTTGCGACTGTTTGTTTACTTTGTTCCCGTCATCCATAGATAATCTATAGACTAAAATGGCCGATAGTTTTTTTGTATGTCCATTAAAAATCTATTTTAAAATTAAAGGTTTGTAGCTTTCTAGGTAAAAAAAAATACAATAAATTTTTTCGGTCTAATTGAACAATTATTAACCATTTAAAACATATTTCCAAAAAGTGTCAATTAGCCTATGGTACTTACCTCGTCAGTTCCAAGCAATAAATAAAATAGATACATGATAACCGTTATTCATGTCATTTTAAACGTTTGGTTTCAGTGAATTGGTATAGCCTTTTTGATTGTGACAGACATAATCAGGTCACTCACCAATTGTGGACGAATGATTTAAGAATGAGCATGCACATTTTCCTGATTAGTTACAGTGCAATATGCCCAAGTTAAACTAAGGTTAAGGCGACGATTAATCAGTGGTAATGTCGAATTCGCAGTAAGTTCTGTCTGTCTGCTTGCCTCTTTTACGTATAAGCAGATGAGCCGATTTAAGGGTACTTTGGGGTAAAGACATGGAAAGGCCACCTTTTGTCGCGAAAAATATTAAAGAGGGTGATATAAGGGCTGAAAGTTTGTACGGGGAATATATCATATTCGACGAAGACAATGTCGCGGGTATCCGCTATTATTTAACAAATACATTCAAACTGCGGATATAACTGGAGAGGACAATCCTTAATAATACTTAACTGACAAGGAAACGAATTAGCGGAGCGTTTTCATTGAACTGCTTGATTCCCTATATCCATAGAAATTTTCCTAATCGTGTCTGATACCTGAACAGCGTGTAATTTCCGTAGTTATTTTTTGTAGTTGTGTTTGACGGTCAGTAAAGTTCCAGGGCTCCACGGTGTAGGAGATCGGGTCAAGGATGGATCCAGCTTTGGCGTCAGGGGGGGTCATATAGTCGTGGTCAAGTCACAGTGGGTACAGATGGACCCAGTCTAGGGGGGGTTATGACCCCCATTACCCCCCCCCCCCCCTGGATCCGCTTTTGGATCGGGTTAGGGTAGGCAACTGCGCGAGTGATATTTCTTATATCGCAAGCGTCTATAGGCTATGGTAGCCGCTTAACATCACGCGAGTCCTGTGTGTGTTAGCAACGTTTTTAACATAAAAATAGTATATATAGGTAAATGTCTACTCACTCTGATTCTTCGCACAGCACTCTCATGAGGCCTCGCCCCCTCCACGAAGAGTCGGTGGAGGCGATCCTCACTTCCATGACTTTGTCGCAGGTGGGGGGCAGCTTCTCCCAGATCTTGGCCTCGCGGTCCAAGTGACCAAGCACCTTCAGGATTCGCCTGAACTTTGGATTTTCACAGTCTTCTGATTTGTCCGTGTAGTCTACTTCCTGAAGAAAAAGTTTTGGTATTAAATTAACTCATATGGACATTTAAAGTCCGGGCCCGCTTAACACGAGTGAAATTTAGGTATTAACATACAGTTAATACAAAAAATATATATGAAATTCTACTGATTTTAATAAAGTAATTTAAGTAAAAGTAAGTAAGCCTTTCAGACAATGGCGTGGACTGAGTTTTAGCCTTGAAAATTATGGAAAAAGTTTGTTATTCAACATTCCACCTTCCGCCATAAAACAGGGACATATTTTAATAAGCCCTTTCCAAGCTACGACACTGGTTTCCAAAAGTACATTTACTATTAGACCGTATAAAAAAATATGTACTCGATTAAACAGAGACATTAAAAAAAACAATGAAATATGGTCAGAGGCAAGTAGGACTTGGGAGTTATTGTTACGCAGCTTAAAATGATTTGTCGAGGACTGGGAAGATTAGTCAGCAATAATTTAGCATCAATAATTAATTTGTAACATTATACTTTAGTCATTCGTTACATAGAATTGGTTGTTGAAGCAAAACGGTAGGTCAAGCGTGACCCCTTCCTTTAGATCCTTGAACGAATTAACAACTTCATCTGTAGTTTAGTAAGTACTCCAATACAAAACAATTATCTCCGTTTCTATTGTTCCAATCACTTCAACTCCTATTATGAAAATGTTTAAATTTATAATAGGGTATTTGACAGTTATTAAAAATAAAGTGCCAATTGTTAGCACCCGTGTTAAGAATGAATATTGGCAGGGATTTTCACCATTCTTACAGAAAAAATATTCATAATTTTACTAAAAAACCACGAAAAAGATAATAGTTTTCTTATCTATTGTCACGTGACCCAAAACGCTTGGGATTGGCGGAGGCTAAAATGACGTTACACGCAAGTAAACTTCTGGTTAAAGTGAAATTACATTGTATCGTTTGACGTTTTAATAACAGTCGTGTGACGTCACACACCAGTGAGACACCATATTGTCCAGAGAAACGTTGTCGCGGCAACTTGAAAATTAAGTTTTTGATTTGGTTTTTTGTACTGAAAAACACATCAGAGTGATAAGTATCCACTTTTTACGGACTCCATAAACATAAGTCAATAACGTGAGATCGTTTTCTAAAACTTGTCAAATACTCTATTCTGGAGCAGATCACGCTCGCAAAGCATTTAGGTAGCTTTGTGTGTTTCTTTTGTATTCACCTTGAAAAAATCTGAAAATCCTGTGATCATGGTTTCCACCAAACTTAGACCTCAAGCCACTACCGCGTTCTGATGTTTTTGCTTTCATTCCTAGTTTGGTATGGTATGTGTAAATTCTTACAGTCATATGAAATCTGTTTTTGCGCACCGCAATACTTATTAGGTGGCAGAGTTAATTGAAAAACGTAGCCAGTAGCGCTCTTTGTGTTTACGCTATAGACAGGACACACCTGCCCGGATGTGAGTCCGTAATTATCTTTCAATACACATCAATGTACATGTTACGTTTATTGGTATCTTTTTAAGGGTCTAATATTTTTCAAGCATTCAAACAACGATCAGTAAGGTTGTCTACTCTTATAAAATTGGAACTTTCAATTCAGTGAAATTAGCGATTCCGCCGATTATCTAACATACGAGTATAAGGTTGCAAGGACGTGTCTACAGTAAAAAGTTGCCAAAACAAAAACGGAACAGCAATCAATTTAGATTTTTCTAAACTTGATTCAATTGAATGTTTTAGAACATTCAAAAATTATTTTGTACCACGCCGTCCAATATTTTTCCTACCACCCTTTCAAAGGACATCTTTTAGCTGAAAAGAAGAATGGGCGCAAGAAACTTATCAGCATTAACAGAAGAAGCAACATTTACATAAAATGATGTAACTACCAAATAAATACATTATGTGAACAATAGTTATGTGTTATGTGTTCCATAGTTACTTGTGAATTTAATGAGAAGACTGCCTTACTTCAATGAGAGAAGTGTTCTTTGTTCGATTATATCCTTTGCTCAACAGAGTATTTTCCTCAAGGGTTTTTAGTTAATGAAGTAGTAGATTAACAATACTTTGTGGTAACTTATTATAAAAAAGCTATTTCCCTAAAAATGAGTTAAGTGTCTTTTGTAATCTAAAAGTTAAAACAGCAAGCTTATTTTTATTTCTCGTATTTAATTAATGGATATCGCTTTTCTTAATAAAATTGCTATAATGTCTATGCACACTAAATTATATTTTCATAAATGTACTGTCCCACCAATTTTAAAATGTTACTTTTTTTAAACTTATCCCTGAGAGAATTCCTTGGTCTTAAATTATATTTATATCGCCCGGATTGCTATTTTTGTAATCTGAAAATACTTTCTATATTGGGTACTGAACCCCATAACAACACGCCATACGACATCACACTTTGAAAATAACTAAAGTAGACTTTTAAACTTTGCTGTTTCAATATCAGTCAAAAACCTTATTTTTTAACAACATACGTAGCTGAGTTAAGTCTACTTGACCGATAATCAATATGGTATATTCATATTGCAATCTAGAAACTTAAGTTATCCCTAAAAACTTAGCATTCTCTCGCACACAAGAGATACTTACTACTTCTTTGTTCACGTTAAAAGATGTATTAATCTGCCTTACATTTGGTACGGAAAATTTAATGAATATTGTTTTCTTTGAATTCATCGAAAGATTATTTACTGTGAACCATTGTAAAACTTTTGAAAGAGCACTATTTACTTCTTCCGAACAATTGCTTCCTCTGTCAACTTGAAAAATTAAAGAAGTATCGTCAGTAAATAGCACTGTTTCACACGAGGTGCTTTTGTAGTAAGGTAGGTCATTTATATTTACACAGTCACGTCGTAAGTATTGTCACACAGTAAAAACTTTCTTTTTACAATGCTGGCCACAAAAAAGTTTATTAAATTCGAATTTCGAATTGTTCATGAAAATAAAAATGTATACTTTTTAGAATTTTTAAATATGGAGTGGACGCTTAAAGAAGACCGTGTTGCATTTATTGCGTTACATCGTTGCGGTTACGCGCCAATTCAAATTTTTGACATACGAGTACCAATACATACAAAAATTTGATTATAACCAAAAGATTCGTTTATCGTACCATCAAACGATACAATGAAGACTGTAGTGTAGATGACAGGTCAAGAAGTGGTCGCCCTCGGTCTGTTAGGACTCCGGCAGTGATAAAAGCTGTGAAGGCGCGAATTCCAAAAAAACGTCCCAAACGTAAGCAGAAACTGTTAGCCCTTCATATGTGGTTAAGCAGAACCACGGTGAAAAGGGTGTTAAATGAAGACTTAGGGCTTTGGGCATATCGAAGAAAAATAGGACATCGTTTGAATGCTCGTCTAATGGACCTGAGACTGAAGAGATGCCGCGATTTGTTGAAGCGGAACGCGGGAAAAAAATATCGGCAAATTCTTTTTTCGGATGAAAAAAAATTTACCGTAGAAGAGAGCTACAACAAACAAAATGATAAGGTGTACGCACACAGTAGTGAAGAAGCGAGCAACCGTATTCCGGGTGTCCAACGAGGTCATTTTCCATCCTCGCTCATGGTATGGTTGGGAGTTTCTTATAGGGGCTTAACAGAGGTACATTTTTGTGAGAAAGGTGTAAAAACGAATGCAGTTGTGTATCAAAATACAGTCCTGACGAACCTTGTGGAACCTGTTTCTCATACCATGTTCAATAACAGGCACTGGGTATTCCAACAAGATTCGGCGCCAGCTCATAGAGCGAAGAGCACACAAGACTGGTGAAATCGACTTCATCCGGCACGAAGACTGGCCCTCCTCCAGTCCAGATTTGAGTCCGTTAGATTACAAGATATGGTAACACTTGGAGGAAAAGGCGTGCTCAAAGCCTCATCTTGATTTGGAGTTATTCAAGACATCTTTGATTAAGACAGCCGCCGATATTGACATGGACCTCGTTCGTGCTGCGATAGAGGACTGGCCGCGCAGATTGAAGGCCTGTATTGAAAATCACGGAGGTCATTTTGAATAAACTTTATTGTCATAAGAATCTATGTTTTGTTAAGTTCATTTTCGTATATAAATGGTTACATAATGAATAAACTTGTTTCAATTATTTTATATTAAACATGTGACAGAATTTATGACCTGACTAGGTATTAAAAATAATAAAGGACCTAATATTGATCCTTGAGGCACACCCATTACCAAAGGGGTTCCAGCGGATTCAGTTTTATTGATAACAGCTTTGTGTATTCGATCAGATAGGTATGATTTAATAAGGCCGACTGATTTGATAGAGACACCATAATGCCCAAATTTCCTCAATAGTCTTAGGTAAATTAACTTAGCATAAAATAAATTGGTAAAGAAGAGCTTGATGGCGCAAGTGGGTGACGCTTTTGGCTGCGATCGCTCCAGTGGTCGGTCTTTGGATTGGTGACCTATTTCGAGCTCCTCCGTGCTTCAGAAGTCACGTTAAGTCGTTGGTCCCGGCTGTATCTGAAGTCGTTAGCACCAATCAATCAGCACTGGGCCCGCGGGGTGGGTTATGGCCCAATCCCCTTAATTCCATCCATAGAGAAGGCCTATGCCCCAGCAGTGGGGACATTAACAGGCTGATGATACTGATGAAATTAATAAAAAACAAACTTTACCTCTCTTCTCACAAGCCCGTTGATGACTAGTCCAACCATTTTGCCGGTCTCATCCATTGCTGCCACCGAGAAGCCCTGGTCCACCGTGCTGGCCGAATATTCTTCCAGCTCCTCGCACCTGGACTCCGCGGTCTCGAGGAGGTTGACTGCTTTGTTCATCGGCTCATCTCGGAAGAAAAACCTGTGAGGCAACGTTAGCAAATAATGATGTTTTTTTCACTTTTTTTGTTGAAAAGAAGACATTCAACATTATGAAAATATTGAAACCAATGTTGTGGAGTTACTTTCCCCAATTCTTCGCTAAAAAAATAAGTCCTGGTGGTAAAAAAAATTGGTGGTATGAAAAAACAATAGCACTTATCAAAAGATATATTGTTTTAAACTTTCATGGTCACTAACATTATAGCTATTAACGGGATTGTTACCATGAACCTTGTTTTTTATAAGTCTCCTATCAAAAGAGTTGTTTTTTTTTCCAATTGATGTCAATGAGCACGGCTTAAAGTACCTAGCACAACTCAATGTTAATTGGTCACCCTTAAGTGTAGGCTCATTAAATGTAAGATAAAAAAAAGATATCAAAAGTAAATCTGATAGGTAGGACATAGTTCAAATTGCGATCACACACACACACAAACATTATTACCTTAGCGGTATTTGAATCCGCAACCATCTGTCGAGGACACAACCACATGACGTTCCGGTGATACCTTCAATTATGATTGAAATCATGAGGAAATTCATCGCCAAGCTTGTAGTAATAAATTACCTATCGCATGGGTAACTAAATGTTCAATTATTTCTTGTAACATTTCATTCTTTATAAGCATTTTATAAGTCACTTCCTATCATATAATATGAACTTCTGGTTTCCATAGTAGGTTAGATTAATAACCTCATATCAATAATTAAATAGTTTATATAAGACACTGTGATCCGACTTGTAGGGGTGATAAACAAACATACGGGCGAATTGAGAATTTCCTCATTTTTGAGGTCTGTGAAAAATTAGATTTTTTTATCATACAATACTAACACACGGTATACCTATAGCAATAAAACAAACAGCTTCATCGTGAGAGCTTTTCTGAAGTGATACTTCGTCAACATGTGGCATTTGATTTATAAACTTTTATAATAAAAAAAATCATTAGTTAGCATTTTCAGTCCGACGTTTGAAACGTTGGTCTTTTACTCATGGGCGTACTTAGGGTAGCAGGGTTAGCCTCTCAAGGCAATTGCACACGCTGGAAAAGTCTCTGCCCACCATTGAGAAATGAAGAGAAGTAGGGCATAGCGGACTTACCGCCCGAATTGGAGCGTCCGTCTGGGGAAGTAACCTCCACTTTACAAAAGATCATGGTAAAATAACACTACCTTTTGGTGGTGTTTTGCTTCTTGCGGTGAGTACGGTTTCAAGGCTCCACGGGTAGGGGATTGAGTCAGGGTAGGCAACGACGCGATTGATATTTTTGTATCGCATCGCGTTCTTCTATAGCATACCATCATGCGGGTAATATGCTTATTTGCCAAAATAAAAATTAAGAAGATAAGATGCTCACCTCCCAAGGAAATCCAAAGCCTTCTGCATGTCGTTGATGGACAACTTCTGGACGGTGTAGCCAGGCTGCGCCATCTTGCGAGGGCGCAGACCCAGCTCCGAGAGCTGAGCAGGCAGCTCGTCGGCCAACTGAAAAAAAAACTTCTTAAAACCTTTGTCTTTACACATTATCGTACTTCTTAAATATTATGTTTTATTATTCGCTGTCGATTCGAGTGGACTAAATTCAATGCTTACCCATGTACTACGGCGACCCATATTGCGGGCATGGCAAAGTATACAAGGGTGGCAGTTTCAGAGTAGAAATGTATGTAGAAATATTTCAATATAGGTAAAATCTTCGCCACATTTTGCGTTCGTTGGTATTAGAACTTAGGTCTGAATAGGTATCCTGAAACAACAGTGATAGATTGCCAGCGGATTGCTTACTATGGTTTCTGAATATGGCTTCATTATTTGCTGGCAGCCAGCAATTGGTTCATTCAATTGGTAATTTTAGTTTATTAAGAAAAAAGACTCTAGTGTATCGCAAACGTCTACGCGTGTATGTTCAGAAACTTTATCAGAAATATCTGTTCAATTTCTCTTAGTTACCTTCTTTTACTTTTAAACAACCACTTGTTGTGTTCCCCTATAATTCAGCCAGTCTTTATTTATTAAACTTCACAAAATTTTCTTCGGAAGTGCACCGGTATGTGGTTAACGAATGATTCAACAATGACTGTTCACTTATACCTATAAGACTGAAGAAAACAAATTGTTTGTGCTAAATGCATCATCATTTGTAATTTGACACCAGTAAAGGGCAAAAGTGCAATGTTTCCAATTTACTTGAAGACGTCAGCGCGTAATTCAATAGTCTGTGAGACAGCTGGATCTGCAGTTTATTGCAGTTGTACGTCGACAGTAGTTTCCATATATTACGACTCCTTAATTTAGTATGAGCAGCAATAACATCTTTCATTGCTGCCATTTTTACATCAACAACGTTTTTATCAGTCGTTTGCTTCGTAGAATGTGCAAACGTGCCTAGTATATGCGTTCAGGAGTTGTCGTTGTCGTTGGCTTAATTGTTGACCATTGTGATCAAGAGTTAGGGTCTATTTTGATCTAGTATATTAAGTTTATATTTTAACCATGTTAAAGTATAAAATTGCCGTTTTATAATAATAGACATTTTGAATTGAGATAAAACCTTCATGTGAGATTTACGAGTGAAACTTTTTTCGCATGATATGGTAACTAAGGTAACTACTTAATGAGGTACTTGTTTTAAAAAAAATGTGCATTAAAAAACATGTGATTTTCGACTGTAATTGTTTCTTTTTTAATAAGCTTAGACGAGAACGATGCAATGGCTACTTCGAAAATCCGAGTAATCTTTGCATATCAGTTCCAATGAAACGGCTTGCTATATTAATGTTGCGTTTGGGAGACTTTTTGGCTTAAACGCTTTCGTAATAAAAATCTTAACTCTGAAATGGAAACAACTCAGAAACTGAACTGATTTCAAAAAAGATTTCAGCATCACTCCTGAGTCACAAAGGCTATATTTTATCGCATCAAAAAAAAACTAGCCATGTACAGCCGGGGTGAACCGCTTGTCATAGTCACATAAACATTTACCTACATAGATTATGCTAACATACGATATGCATTATAATTTCGTTTAAGACTTGTAAGGTTTATTTTATAGCCAAATAGAGAGGGTCAGGGATAAAGACCTAGTGTAATGCCAATTAAAGTTACAGTGTTGTTATGCTATGTCTATAAATGAGAACTGAGCACAGCTATTTTAACGGCTCCTAGGCGGCCTAGATCATTTATCTAGTTCGGGAGAACGATCAGTTGTAAGTCCTTTATATTGCATTGCTATGCATGTCCGGATTGCCTTGAATACCAGTTGGCACTTTTGTTAGAGCTCTGGCCTATGTCTGCTATTCGAAAACAAAGGTTGCACTGTTTAATTAATCAGCAACTTTGTATTATAAATTGAATTTCCGTTAAATAATTACTGGTTCACGATTTTTATCTATCTGTGCTGTCACGCCTTTGATTGACCGTCCACCAACGCATGTTAAGGATAGTTTTTGTTTTATATATTGGTTTATTACTTAAATGAGTTAGTAGAGATGAAAGTTAAGTTTTTCTGTGATTGGCGGAATCGTATTGTTGTCGTTACTTTGCCCAATGACAGCACTCTTTCTCGTGTGGTGCAGTTTTCCATCGTCGTCTTCTGTAAGCGATTTTGTGATAAAGTAAGCACCCAACCGAATTTAAGAATTTATGTTAGGGTAGCAGAGTCTTCAATATGTATAACAATGGTTTATGCTGACATAATTTAGTCACAACGTTAAGGGAATGTAGCTACTCATGCATGGTAGAGCTTTGTTTAAGAGACTAATACAATAAACAATGCAGTGGTGGGCCCCGTAAAATAATTTCAAGATATATTGGCAGTTTTTTTAGTGTATGCGTAGGTAACAGTTTGCAGTTATCACGACAATGTTAGTCTGAAATAATTCCCACATTCTTTGAAAACCACTAAACAAAAATCTTATCTTATACGTAGTAATACGTACCCATATTGTGTTAAGACTTTAATTACTCTATTTTACCCCTTAAAGGGTTGGTGTTTTGATAGAGTTGCCTTTTATATATACAGAAGAAGATATTCACTGAACTAAAGTACATAATAATTCATAAGCTTAATTATAAGCTATATAAATAACGTATCCGTCTGTCTGTACATTTAAGTTGTTGCTGTTACCTTTGTACAAATACATTTAGATGCGATTAAATTAAACTAAGACTGCATAAAGCGGATATTTAAATGAGCCCTTAACAAGAGTACGTACAAGCAATTTATGTTCTTATTGTGATTGTCCGATTGATTTAGAAGTCACGACTGCAAGTTGTGTTTAAGCGACAAAATAATCTAGGAGAATATTTTTTGCTGAGCAGGTAATTATTTATTAAAACTTTTATTAGGGGGCGTCCATAAATTACGTGAGATGTTTAAGGGGGTGAGGGGGTCGAGTCAAACCTTATCTAATCTTACGTTGGAGAGAGGGGGGGTCTCGGCAAATATCAAGCAATTTTTTTTCTGATTGAAACAAATAAAATGTACTATTTTGGTCCATTTAATTCAGATTGTACATGCTTAAGATTTAATCTTAAGTGTAATACGATTAAGATCATTCACTAATTCGTTGGAAAGAAAATAATTTCACTCAATATTCTATTGTTAAATTTTCATTACACTTATAACTCTCAGCAATATTGATTACTAGTCTTAACTAGTTGTTAAGCACGAAGCAATATTTTTTTTCTTTTTACAATAACATTCCTTTTTACAATAACAGTCCAACGCGTTTACGTAAGAACACCACATTTTGAAAAATCTCACGTGAGATTGGGGGATGGGGGTGGGGGTTAAATAAAATTGCACACCATCTCACCAGGGGGGGAGGGAGGGACAGAAAATTCAAAAAAACACCTCACGTAATTTATGGACGCCCCCTTACTTACATCGTTTTTTCGTTCATCTTCAGCATTTCGTGATAAAGTTTAAATTTTAATTATTATTAAAAATTCGGACGTTTTCAAAAAGCGTTGTTGGTTTAGTACGGCACGGATTTGATTCTCAGCCGAGGAACGAGTTATTTTATTTTCCATTTTTTACAAGTCCGATAATTTGTTTGAAAATTTTCAACGAATAAAATTTAATTTTGTAACTTGCAACTGGTTCTTATTATTGGTCATAAATTAAAAATAGCTTCACATCATCTTCGGATTGCCGTCAAACAGGCGTCCACCTAGCGTAAACATATTACGTAAGGAATTAGCTAAGCTACGTAGAGATGTACGCCAGGCTACGGAGAGTTGACCACGAACTTTCAGTTGCTCATCCCGAGGCGAGGCGATTACGTTACGATTCCGATTAGTGTTCGTTGGAGTAGGTAGTTAACATCACATACAAATAATACTGAACGGCTGGAGTTGATACGTTGACGATCCCTTTCAGAGTTAATGTGTCTGCTACGAGCATTATGCTACGGAAAATCTTTTCAGAAAAATTACTGCCTATTTTTCGCAATCGTAAGTGATTTATTATAATTGGGAAATAATAGCCTTACATAATATAAAACAAAGTCCCCGTCTTGTCTGTCTTCCTGTATGTCCGCGATGAACTCAAAAACAACGTAATGGATTTTCATGAGATTTTTCCTATTTGTTATACAACTTTCCACAATGAAAAATATGCCTGAGAACAAAAACTATAATCTGCACTTCACTAGAATTTAATAATTAATAATTATTAATAGGCCCCCTGGTAGTGTGATTAGGTAAATATGTAAATGCGTAAAGTTAATATGAGTAATATTTCCAAAGCGACCTATTCAGAAAGACCTTAGCAATGATCGTGTCAAGAGCGATCATGCCTATGTACTTTGATTTATATGACTCATTCTTTAATGATAAATAAGCTTAATTATAATATGCTTGAGACACACCCAAGCTGCATTGCAATTTACTAATAAACAGTTGACTACAAAAGCACTATCGTGATTTCTGATTTTCTGTGATATTTTGATAGATTGCCGATTTTGTTTTGTTTCCAAACTTTTTCCGCAAATCTAACAACAAAAAAGCAATCATCTAAATCAGTGATGGGCAAACTTTTTCTTTTCTCCTTAGTTACGTATTAAATAAGTAGGTACCAGCTTCAGCAGCGGGGTGGTACGATGGGCACTAGGCCGCGTATTCAGCCCCCACGCGCGGGCCATCCTGCGCACGTCTGCGGGGTCTCCGCAATACCTCGGGAGACCCTGCCGTGGAGCCCCGGCTAGGCCGGGAGGCTGCTGGGTGCGGAGACGCGGAAGAATCCCTAAACGGGGATCCCGCGGCTTCGCACTAAGCAGTTTACAGGGTATTCGCAGGGTTTTTTAGCGGATATTATGCCGTAAAGCGCCCGTAAGAGTTACGGGGTCCTCAGTGGGCAGCCACTGTGGGGGCTCATAAGGTTTGCGGTGTGAGGTCCGTTCGGCGGTGTGCCTCTCAAGGGCGCCGTCGTCTGTAAACAGAGTTTTTGCCTGCGTCACAAAAAAAAGGTACTAGCTTCAGCAGCGGAGTGGCCCTCCACGGAACATGTTACAAAATGGTACTTGTTGGTGTGCACCATTGTTTTTTTTTGATGGCTGAAATTCAACCATTCGAGGGCCCGCGGGCCTTAGTTTGCCCATCCCTGATCTAAA